ACTTCTATCGTTAGATTAAACTAGTTGTTGAATTTTAATCTCAATTTCACTTTATTGGTTGATTGATTACTGCCTCATGCTTGATGTATATAGTCGATCTTTGATCTTGTTCCAATAAAATTATGCAAATATTCTTTAAGTTTAAATTCTGGGATTATATTTGTAATTAAATTGATTTTCACGATATATCTTCCGATTAGAGTGTCGGGATGAAAGCCTCTAATTGTGTTATAAAAATGAATAATTGATATGATTGATCCAATCCAATTGAGGAAATTTCGACGTTTCACCGCTTATAATTATTGATTTTAATTTCACGTTTTAACATTGAATTTTATTACACATTCGAGAGAACAATTCAGTCTTTTTGATCCTTTAAATATTATTCCATATTCCCGTGGATACGACACCCCAAATCTGTGTTACAACTACCGCGTTATTCTTTGAGCGTAATCAAGTAGTCAAGTCCTTATATCTTTATCTATATTTTGGTATTAACTTGCCATCGCAAGATAGTTGTTTGTTTGAGCAGATCAATATTGAGATTCATGTGCTCATTTTTGAGTTTTAATTGGTTCAAACTGTTCGTTAGAGCTTGAAGGACTCTTATACCGTATTAATACTTAATGTTCCATTTTATAAAGTCAACTTTATGAAGAGAAATATCACAATACCTTGTATGTAGGTCTATATTTCAGTAATTAGTCGATATGTGATTTATCTTTTAATACGTATTATAAATTTTGTTAGACAAGCAAGACATTACAAATATCAATTCAAATTTAAGAAAAAGCACGCAAGTTAGTACCACGATCACTATAATTTATGAGAATTCATGTACACTTTGAAGTTATTAAGATTATCTACGTTTATCAAAATAATGCTATATTACCACCATGAATGTATTAAATTTTGACCATACAAAGTTAGGTAGGCCTTCTACAAATATAAATAGTTGTCATCAAATGAAGTATACAATTTACCAAAGAATATGCCCAAAGTACATAAACCTAGACCATAACTTGCCACCTTCCTTGAAGGAGCACCAAAGAATATACCAAAGAGACCTACCCCATACCTACTCTAACCACCCAACAATCCAAAATAAATGAAGGATGAAACGGAAAATGGCATTTTTTTTTGAAAAAATAGTTATTCGATGAAAACTATCTTATTTTTTGTTATATTATTTTATTTTGGTTTACTTAAGTGAGATAGCAAGATGTCATTTTACACAAATTCGATAAATTTTAGATGAAAATTATCGTAAGGGTCCAAAATCTGCTAATTTATCAAAATTTGGGGAAAAAATCAGACAAAATAAGGCCAAGGACAATATCGCAACTTTGACTAAAGGTTAGGGATGAAATTTAAAAATTTTCTTTTAAAATAATATTCATAAAAGCATTACAAATACCTTCCCATACCTAACAAAGTTATGACTCAATATCTTGTAGAATTGGAAACGTCTACGAGGATGCCATTTTGCCTTTGATTTGATATAAATTAAAATTCAGAGATTTTGATTTAAGTCAAAGTCAAAAATTTATTTCAATCACATATTTTATGGAACCCACAACCTTTCAACTACGTATTTCATCAATTTTTATCAAAATTTACTAAAATTCTAATTTCAATCCCCAACGAACATGGGCTATAATGCGAAAATTAGACTCCACACTTTGAAGACGCGGGATTTCACCCCCTTTTTATAGGGATTAAATTTATATTTTCATTCAAGTCAAAATCAACAATTAATTTCAACCTCATATTTAATGGAATGTATAACTTTTCAATCACACATTACATCAGCTTTAATCAAAATCTAATGAAAATATGATTTTTACCTCCACCAAAGTGACCAAACAAGCATAACTTTTCCTACTTCCATATGTACGGGTTTCGTCGAGCACGATTCTTAAAATCCCCTGAATCGTGACCTGGGACTTAGAATGGAAAACACATTTTGGCTTGCAAGTTGTAAGTTATAAAAGACAAGTAGTCGGTCCATTCATATCATCTCGTATAACATATTTTGTCTATATTAACACAGAGGGGTCATCAGAACACTGATTGGACACCTACCAAGTGGACACCGTACCCTCTTCATTGCCTTTGGAAAAACATGTGCATAAAATGAGTGATTCTACCCAACACCAGTCTAATCTACGTAACAGTAGTCATATGAAGGTTTTTTTTTTTTTAATAAATTTAGAATCGATTAAGGAAATGATTTTCTGTCTCTTGATTTGGTTAATGCTGAAAGATAAAAAGTTTCAAGCTCCCTTTTTGCCTCATTTTTTAAAATTTATTTTTTCAGACTCGTTTTGAATCACAAATTATAAGATCTACATCTTCTNTTTTGGTTTACTTAAGTGAGATAGCAAGATGTCATTTTACACAAATTCGATAAATTTTAGATGAAAATTATCGTAAGGGACCAAAATCTGCTAATTTATCAAATTTTGGGGAAAAAATCAGACAAAATAAGGCCAAGGACAATATCGCAACTTTGACTAAAGGTTAGGGATGAAATTTAAGATTTTTCTTTTAAAATAATATTCATAAAAGCATTACAAATTCCTTCCCATACCTAACAAAGTTATGACTCAATATCTTGTAGAATTGGAAACGTCTACGAGCATGCCATTTTGCAATTGATTTGATAGAAATTAAAATTCAGAGATTTTGATTTAAGTCAAAGTCAAAAATTTATTTCAATAACATATTTTATGAAACTCACAACATTTCAACTACGTATTTCATCAATTTTTATCAAAATTTACTAAAAATCTAATTTCAATCCCCAACGAACATGGGCTATAATGCGAAAATTAGACTCCACACTTTGAAGATGCGGGATTTCACCCCCTTTTTATAGGGATTAAATTTATATTTTCATTCAAGTCAAAATCAACAATTAATTTCAACCTCATATTTAATGGAATGTATAACTTTTCAATCACACATTACATCAACTTTAATCAAAATCTAATGAAAATATGATTTTTACCTCCACCAAAGTGACCAAACAAGCATAACTTTTCCTACTTCCATATGTACGGGTTTCGTCGAGCACGATTCTTAAAATCCCCTGAATCGTGACCTGGGACTTAGAATGGAAAACACATTTTGGCTTGCAAGTTGTAAGTTATAAAAGACAAGTAGTCGGTCCATTCATATCATCTCGTATAACATATTTTGTCTATATTAACACAGAGGGGTCATCAGAACACTGATTGGACACCTACCAAGTGGACACCGTACCCTCTTCATTGCCTTTGGAAAAACATGTGCATAAAATGAGTGATTCTACCCAACACCAGTCTAATCTACGTAACAGTAGTCATATGAAGGTTTTTTTTTTTTTAATAAATTTAGAATCGATTAAGGAAATGATTTTCTGTCTCTTGATTTGGTTAATGCTGAAAGATAAAAAGTTTCAAGCTCCCTTTTTGCCTCATTTTTTAAAATTTATTTTTTCAGACTCGTTTTCAATCACAAATTATAAGATCTACATCTTCTGTCAATTTTTAAATTACGTATTTCATCAATTTTAATCAAAATTTACTACAAATCTAATTTTAGTGAAACCAAATTGGCAACTACCGTTGACAATGAAAAATTTGATCTACGACTTCTTGCGATATGTTGTAGTGAGATATATGGATGATAAAAGGATCGAGTATCTCGTCTGTTCGACTCATCAAAACTTGGCCCATGGACGACTTAGACTCGTTTCAGGACAAGCCGGGGATTCGTCCGACGAACCCAACAAGGCTCAACTTGTCATCTCGCGAACAGATCGTGGGTTGTAAAGTTTAGAACCAAAAAATGTGAACAAAACAAGTTAATTTTTTTTTTTTTTTTTTATATTGCATAGTTAATTTTTTCAAATCCATTAAAACAATCAATAAAATCCAAAAATCCTAGCGTATAGAAATTAAGACGACTTGACCAGACACAAATGAAGTCATACGATTCAAGACTCGCATAAAATGAGATTTGCAATGTAAATCATCAAAGATACAATTCCGCACGTAATAAGAATGCAATCGTAATTATATACACTTGCGTGTGAATGATAAGAGAAACAATATATAAAACATTCATTCATTAAATTGAAAAACAAAAATCAGAGAAACGATAACATAACATGGATTTGAATATTCATACAGAAAAGAATTACTATCGAAGATGAAAGAGATGAGATCTAACCGCTTAGAAAGAGCTCACACAGAGAGACTTTTGTTA